GAGGATCTAAAGAGCCTCTTGATGCGGTTGAAGAAGGAGAAAAAAAAGTTGAAACTCAATGTTAAGAAAACTAAGGTCATGGCATCCGGTCCTCTCAATTCCTGGAAAATAGATGGGGAAGAAATGGAAGTAGTGACAGTTTTTATTTTCCTTTGCTTCAAGATCACCACAGATGGGGACTGCAGCCAAGAAATTAAAAGACGCTTGCTCCTTGGGAGGAAAGCTATGGCAAATCTAGACAGCATACTAAAAAGCAGAGACAACACAAGTGCGTATAGTCGAGGCTATGGTTTTCCTAGTTGCAATGTATGGCTGCTAAAGTTAGACCATAATAAAGGCTGAGTGCCAAAGAATAGAGGCCTTTGAACTCTGGTGCTGGAGAAGACTCCTGCAAGTCCCTTGGACTGCAAGGCGATCAAACCGGTCAGTCCTGGAGGAGATCAACCCTGACTGCTCTTTAGAAGGCCAGATCCTGAAGAGGAAACTCAAGTACTTTTGCCACCTAATGAAAAGGAAGGACTCACTGGAGGAGAGCCTAATGCTGGGAAAGATGGAGGGCAAAAGAAGAAGGGGACTGCAGAGAATGTGGTGGTTGGATGGAGTCACCAAAGTAGTAGGCGTGAGCTTCAATGGACTCCAGAGGATGGTAGAGGACAGGAAGGCCTGGAGGAAGGTTGTCCATGGGGTCGCAATGGGTCGGACACAACTTTGCAACTAACAACAGCAGCAGCTACGTACAGGTATTCCTCAACTTACAACAGTTCATTTAGTGACTGTTCAAATTTACAACAGTCCTGAAAAGTGACTTATTACTGTTTTTCAGTTATGATCATTGCAGCATCCCCATGGTCATATGATCAAAACTCAAGATGCTTGGCAACTGACTCACATGATGGTTGCCATTTCCTGGGGTCATGTGATCTCCTTTAGCAACCTTCTGACAAAGAAACTCAATGGGAAATCCAGATTCACTTAATCACCATGTTACTAACTTAACAACTGTGGCGAGAAAAGTCGCAAAATGGGGCAAGCTCATTTAACAAATGTTTCAAGATTTAGAAAGGGGACTGGGGAAGGAGATAAAACCAGCTCTGTGTGAGCAAAAGTTATATGAGAGTGCTTTGGTGCCCAGGTGGAGAAAAGGCCAAACAGTATTGTGGTTTATTCAAGGAAATATATTTGATTACTTTATTGGGGGGGGGGAAGTAAACCTACACAATTTGACTTGCAATTCTGTATGTACTTCCTAGGGAATTTGCCTCATGGAGTTAGAAATCGGGAATCAAGGAGAGAAGCAACTTGGAACTAAGGAGAAATTTCCTGACAGAACAAATCATCTGTGGAACAATTTGCCTCCAGAAATTGTGAATGATCCAACACTAGACATTTTTAAGAAGATGTTGGATAATCATTTGTCTGAAGTGGTGTAGGGTTTCCTACCTGAGCAGGTGGTTGAATAGAAGAGCTCCAAGGTCTCTTCCAACTCTCGTATTCTATTCCATTTCATTCCATTGTTCTGTTCCTTTCCTTTCTATTACTCTATTATTCTATTCCGTTCCGTTCCGTTTCATTCTATTATTCTATTGTTTTATTCTATTCTATTCATTATTCTATTCTATTCTATTCCGTTCTGTTCCATTCTATTATTCCCATGAATTGCACTCTCCACCTTGCCTTTGTTAAGGCATCATTCTTAAGCATCAAAATTCGTGGGGGCAATTGCCACTTTTTAAAAAAATGCCACAGTTTTGCCTCCTAGTACGCTAGATTTGACCTTGACATAACACAATAGCTGTTTCGATTTTTAAAAAAAGCTTCAAAACCTATCACCAACTCCATTTGGGGCAGAGCGCCTGCGCAGCCTTTCAGCTGGCTGCCAAATCAATTCCCCCACCCCCGCTGCCGCCGCTTGGGGGCGCATGCGCAGCCCCAAAGCTTGCGTGCGGACGAGGCGAGTTCGCGCTTGCGCAAGACGAGACACCCTGGATGCGGCCTTTCAAGCATACGGGTTCTTGAGCCGGCCCCGCTTTTGTTTACCTCGGGGGGGGAGTAGGCGGGGTTAGCGACGGCGACGCCCGCAGTCAGCTGAGCGCGCGCCGGCTACCTTTCCAAGGCGCTCGAGGGCGGTAAGTGAGGAGGGGGGGACCCCCTCGGCCTCCAGCGAAGAGTCTAGATATGCCCCAGAGGGTCTTAGCCCGGTGCTAGCGCTGACCGGCGTGGGTGTGTCGCGGGGCTGGAAAAGTCTCGGGTCGCCCGAGGGATTTTCCCGCAGAAGCAGGGCCTGAGCGTCTGGAGGAGCCGCGCTCCTTCACTCTCGCGACCCGCCTCACTTGGTGGACTGCATGAATCCGCTTGGGGGCGGTGGGGGGGGGGGTCGACTGCTGCGTAGCTCCAAAGGGCGTCAGGCCCCAATGGCTGCCTGGGAGGTTCTGGGAGTTGAAGTCCACACACCTCTAAACGGGATTCGATCGCAAAACATTGGTGTGTTCTTGTTGTGCAATCCCAAAGAGTATGGAAATTTTTAGGGTTCTGTAACTGGGATTTCCAGGTCTATGTAACCGTGATTGATTTAGTACAGGGATAATTTTTTTTAGTTAGCCTGGCATACAAGAATAGAATAGAATATGGAATGAAGAATAGAATAAAATAGAATAGGAATAACAGAGGCTAACAGAGCACAGCTGAGATTTGTGTTTCAGCACCTCTGGGTCTCTTAGTCATAGGGTACAAATAAGCAAATCAGGAAACAATGTCAATATAAGGATACAAGCAACAAAGTTACAGTCCTGCAGTCATAAGTGGGAGGAGATGGGTGATAGGAACGATGAGAAGACTAATAGTAATAGTAATGCAACCTTAGTGAAAGGTTTGACAGTGGTGAGGGAATTATTTGTTTAGCAGAGTGATGGCTAAATTCGGGAAAAAACTGTTCTTGTGTCTAGTTGNCTTGGGATGTGAGAACAGAGCACACTGCTATTTATACAAAGCAGGTGCACTGTTTTAGTGCACATATAACACCCATGTGGATGTTTATATGCCAACAAGGAGTGTGTAATACAGCATCACACTATTTCAAGTGTTTGAAAAGCTATTTTTTAAAATTTTCTGCCCCACTCCAAGAACCATCCCACCTCACATCCCAAGCTGCTGTTCAGTTATATATAGAATTGTCAGTCACATGCTTCCGTTTGAAGGAGACATCATCTTCATCCTCCTCCTCTTCAGTCAGCACCTCTAGTCCCTCCCTCACTGGGTCGCCAGTGTCCTTTATTCGGTTAACTGCGCCTGCGCATACCGGTCGCGGTTGCCCGGCGGCGGCAGCGGCCGTTCAGAATGTCGACGGCGCCAGGAGGCGGGGGAGCAGTCCCTCCCTCCGGCGGACGCGCAGCGGCAGCCGCTGCTGCGGGAGGAGAAGAGGCGGCGCCTGTGTCGGCGCTGGAGGTTGTGTCCTTCCTGGGGAAACTCCTGTGCGCAGTCGCGGCACTGAAGGCGGCTCTCTACCTGCTCCGCAGAGTCTGTCTAACCATGGCCTGGAAGTCGGGAGGCACGAGCCACTCGGAGCTCATCCACAACCTCCGCAGTATGTGTGCGCGCCTGGCTCGGGGGAAGAAAGAAAGGAGTGGGAGGAGGCAGAGGGAGGGGCCAGGGCGCGTGCTGCCCATTCTTGAAACCCGACGCAGGCATGCAGGCACCCACCCTTAGCTCCCCGGCCGTTGCTAGGGAGTGACCGCTAGGATTCCTGTTGGCCCTCCGCGTCGCGCGCTGAGGCGGAGTTGGGGGGAGGAAGAGAAAAAAAGCCAACTGTCACTCGGCGACCTCTGGAGATTTAAAGCGGGGGTTGTGGGGGGCGGCGGCGTGAACTTTCCCGCTCGCGGCTGCTTTGCGAGGCGAGGATGGAAGGCGCAGCTGTACTCGCTTGCAGGTCGGGCGTGTCTCTTACTGCGGGGAAAGCCTGTTTGAGGGCAGTGTCCGCTTATCTTTGCTGCCAGGCCCGGCGGTGGGAGTAGCGCCCGGAGCCTTCCTCCCGCCTTGCTTTCTTGGCTCCTCTCGTGGGATTTCTTCTTCGCCTGGCGTTCGGCTCTTTCTATATACGGGTCTAGCGGTCTTTAGGGCTGCATGGGCCGTGAAGACTGCGCATACGTATTTTCCTGAACTCTGGTCCGCTGTTAATGCATGCCTTTTAAAAACGGAAGGGTCGTCTTTAGTCAAATTTAAGTTTCTAGTCCGTCAGGTTGCCGAGTAAGGAGGGAAAAAGTGCTTCTCGGAAAGCGTGGCCGTTGGCCCTCTCTTCTGTCACTTGTTTATTATGCAACATTTCGCTTCTTAGAGTGAGTCTTATCAGTTATTATAATGAACTTCGTTGGCTTGAGCTGCCAGCTTGTTGGGGATAAACATGTTGCACGTTGTCATATAATGAGAGCTAAACAATAGGTAGTATAACTATAATATAATTTTATCTAGGAACTTAAACACGTCCTGTGAAATTCCTTATTGTTCAGGGCGTTTTTCAGAGAGACAGGATCATCCGAAGAAGCACTTATAAAGTTCCTGTCCCTCCAGATCTGCCTTGAATAAATAGTATTTTGGTGTGATTCCTTATGAAACATTGAAGTTTATGTTTACAGGACTAAGGTAAACCCATTTGCCAATTAAGATTCTGGTTCTTCCATTCAGTAAGATATTCAGCACAAATTAATTTGGTGTAATAATATGCATTCTTGTTCATAAAATGGGGAAAAAATAATTTACAGCAAATCTGCTCTTTTCATTTGGCTTCCAATCTGGTTGTACTGTCTCATTTATGAAGATACTGTAAATGAATAGGGTAGAAATGCAGACGAAACAAGAATAGGAAGAAATTATTTGGGTGTTGTTTTATCCCATTTCTTAATTTTTTGTAAAAGAGTATAGTGCACTGAAGCCTTATGCAGTATAGTGCTTCAGGCTTGGGATTAGCACTGGGAAAGTCTTATTCATGTTTCTTGGCCCAATGTAGAAATAATTTAAAAGCCCTATGATACTAGTCAAATATAAATATTTTGCTTTCTAACATATGTAACCACCTAGATCTCACACCCTGTCTTGAAGCTGGGAAGACTATGGAGCTTTATACTCAAATATCTGCATTTTCCACAATAGTAGTGGATATTACTTTATTTTTTACTTTTCCCCTTGGTGCTGTAGGAAATAAAAAGCTAAAAGCTCCTTTTGGTATTAATGCAATTTGCAGGGTGATCAGTTGTTCAATTGATCTTAATATTTGCTTCAGTATCTAGTGAAGTATTTGCAGTCCTCGACTTATGACCCTAATTGGGACCAGAATGTTGGTCAGTAAACAATGCGATTGTAATGTGAGAAATCATATGACCGCATTGCTTAGCAACCACAATCCCCATTGCTGCTGTTAAGCAAAATTTACCATCAGCCGAGGACTCACCCCAATCCAAACCATTCTGAACTTCAGTAAGGTAAGGGACTGCCTCCAACTCCCCCTATCTTCTTATCTCCCCCCATCTCTGCCCTTTTGAATGCTCTTGTGGGGCAACAAGCAGCTCCAGAGCCACCTCAGCCCATTCTTGCTTGCCCTCACCACCCTGTGCCCCACCCCCAGCAGAGGAGTGCAAGTAAAAATGCTATGCAATGGGGAAGCCAAAAATGGTTTCACCCAATGGGAAAACATGGGGTAGTGTTGGCTCAAGAAGCCACATATAACCAATGTAAATTGGAGAAGCTGAACCATTGCTGCCTTTACTTTTTCTTTGCAGCATGAAAAGCATTTGCCCTGGAAAACATGATGCAGGAGGAATTCAGTTCACACCTGAACCTGACTTTTTAGGGACAGGTACTTTGCCCTTGGATTGGGAGATGTGGCAATGTTGGTCTATGGGAGACTGTATTTGTCTTGCTATCAAGCCTCAGTCATACATTCATTGACTGAGAGGAGCCCATCTCTTGAACCCTTTTTGAGGTTTCTTCCAAATTGGAGGGTTATATGGTTGTGTGTGTGCGCGAAGAAAGTGTGGAACTCTGATTCCAGTTTAATTTGCCTTGTTCCTATGGATCTTCCTTTGGCAGCAGTTTTTTTTTTAAGAGGGCAACCTGATGCCTGCAGACATAGACTAACCATATGGTTGGGGAAGTGGGAATGCTACTGCTTTTATCCTGGAAAAATCCAATAGGCAAATGAGGAATGCAAAGGCACAGAAAAAAGCAAGTGGCAAAACCAGATTCTAGCTTGACACAGTTCTGCTGGATTCTTTCCTTGCAATCCCTGGGTAGTTCTGATCCATGGATATAGTCAAGATGGCTTTTGGGTACTCTGTAGCTTCGAGGCTACCTGTTGCAGCCTGTAAGGCAGAATGCACAGTGGCCAAAAGGGCAGAGATAATAGGGGAAATGGGTGGCAGGAATTGCAGCACTCTTATGATTGTAGATGTAGGCATTCTACTAATCACCCAAATTTTGATCACGTGACCATGGGACTACTGCAATGACTGTAACTTACAGTATGAGACATAAGTTTGTTCATTGCTTTTGTAACTTTGAATGATCGTCAAATAAATGGCCTGATGTCAAGAACCATCTGTAAATACGTAAGGTTCTTGGATCAGACTCTAGCCTTGAATTTTATAAACCCACACTTCCAGTGTAAGTTTGCAAGAGTAGTAATGCTATATTGCAGATTCTCAATGGCATTTCATCTCTTAAAAACTGATTTAAGAACCTTAAATATATAGACACCCTATGATCAACTGGGTTATTGTTTCAGATATATTTTCTTACCAGATTCCTCAATTCCTTCAATAAAAATAGAGCTTCCAATATACTGCCTTCATTGGAAAGTCCTTTAAAATTCAGGGAGATATTCAGAGATGCATCTGCCTTGGAAATAGTCAATGTTGAATTGTATAGCACAATTAAACATCAGGAGTTCGGCACAAGAATTTTTTTTGACATTTTGTATTATTTCACGAAATGTTTAATGATAATTTTATGATGTAATTTTTAAATAAAATTTACCAAATTTCAATTCCATCAGCGTCAGAGGTTCTAGGTTCAGGATTTCAGATATAAGCAGTTTGAGATATGTTTGTTCAAAAAGTCTTGCCCTACTGTGTACCATTTTGCCCAGTTAAATGAATAGAATAGAATAAAAATCTATTGGCCAAGTGTGATTGGACACACAAAGAATTATATCAATTGCACATACCTTCTATGGGAATGCTGTTGATATTTTTTAGTGAATACTGTAATGAAATAATGAGCCATTTATGATTTACATCACCACTCAATTTATGAAAGCAGCTGTTCTTTGGAAAGCTAAACTGAAAAAAAAACAGTGATAACAGATTAGATTTACTTGGCTTGATATTAATAATCTGTGTTTTTGTATATATTTTATATTGGTTTATGTAAAAGCAATATTATTCATTTGCATTTTTCTCCTTAATGTATTTATTTCATTTCATTGTTATTCTATATATTTGAATTTTGTTTGTTTAATAAAATAAAATTTGTATTTTCGAAATAAGCATTTGCAGCTCTCAGAATCTGAGGGCAATAGAAGGCAGACTGAAACATTCTGGAGGCTGAACAGAAAAGCTGAACATATGGAAAAAACAAGAACAAGGAAATCAAATGGGCATCAAAGTAGACTATGCTGACAAATGGAACGTACTGTATCAGAATGTTATTCTGGTACAATGGGGGCAGGCATTATGGACAGTTTAAGAAGCTAGGATCAATTATTTTTTTAGTTTGTTTTCATTCTTGTAATATTTATCTGGTTTTGTATTTATAATTATTTGGATATTTGGATATTTTATCTCACAGTAAGCTGCTCATAGTCAGCTTGAACCGCAAGATGGGTGGCAAATAAATTTATTATTATTATACAATTGTATCACAGTGGCCAGTTGTTTCGCCGGATTTGGCATTGGTTACTAGTCGGGTCCCACCCAGGGGCCTAGGACGTCGTAACGTATTTTCGTAATATGCGTGCAGANACAGTGCTTTACAGCCCTCTCTAAGCGGTTTACAGAGTCAGCAAATTGCCCCCAACAATTTGGGTCCTCATTTTACCCACCTTCAGAAGGATGAAAGGCTGAGTCAACCTTGAGACTGGTGAGATTTGAACTGCCAAATTGCAGGCAATCAGCAATCAGCAGAGGTAGCCTGTAGTACTGCGCTCTAATCACTGTGCCACCACGGCTCAGTTTCTTGTACAATGTTAATGAAACAATATGCATTCATCAAATTATTATTTTGTAATTTATTAGATTTATATACCTTTTGTACAGGAGCTCAAAGTATCGTATTTTTCTTCCTATTTTACTCATAACGACAATCCAGGGAAGTAAGTTGGACTGAGAGAAAGAAGGACAGTACCAAAGCCATCAAGTGAGTTTCTGTGGCTGTAGGTACTATCAGAAAATAGTAGGTACAATATCAACAATATCACTAATGACATCTGCTCCTATGTATACACTATGTCCAAAAGACGTTATTGAAGAAATGTCAGATGTAGAACAAAGTTTATCAGACAAGACTGATAACAGCACCCCACTCTAATTCTTTAACTACTATTCTACAGTGGCTTTGCTATTTTCTCATTTTCAAATAATCTAGAAAAGTACCTATGATAATGGTGTATACAAAGTACTATATCTTTTATTGTATATTTAAATATATAATTACTGAAACGTTTTGTTATGTTGCACAGATTATCAATTAAGATGCTCTATAAACATTTTCAGAAGTCATATATGTAGCTCTGAAAAAAGTTGTTTTAATGCTACATTTCCAAAGCAAAGGCAGATATTAATTTGTATCAATACACTGTTCCGTTATCTCCAGTAGATCCCTATTGAAGTTTCAGTAAAATGGGAGTAATTTAGTTCAGTTGACAATTTTTAAACCCCCGAGGCAAAATTAAAGAAAGAACGCAAATTGCATTTAAGCTTAAAATTACTAAGCATTCTTAATTCTTAGCCACGTGGTGGTTCACTAAAGCAAAACAAAGCCGTCTATTCACTAGCGACAAAAACAGTGGCGCCCAAACTAAGAGGGATTAGCTTAAACTCTCAACTAGGGGGAAGTCACGGCCATGGTTCAGGAAGACTCCACATCGAGAAAAGCAAGCAAGTTTTAGCGAGCCATGGCAGTTGGAGGGCACATAAGGCGGGGAAAAGCCGAAAAGATGGTTAGTGAGGAAAGCCGAAAGAGCTGAGGAAGGAGAAACGCCGGTCTTGCGGGCGTCAGAGTTACCTCATTATCCCACGAGCCGGTGGCGAAAATCTCGGGAGGCTGCAAGGTCGTGGCAGATACGGGCCGCCAGCGGGTCTTACTGATTTTCTGGGATACATACTTGCCCACTACGTCCTCCATATTCGGGGAGAGACACTCGCTCCCGCGCAGCACGATCACGCCGCAGATTTTCAAAGCCACACTCTTGATTGGCTCGCAAACGTCACGAGAGACGGCTTCCGAAGGAGGACAAAAAGCGCTGTACAGTAAATACATTCAGTAGTATCAATGCATTTTCCAACCTGGCAGAATGGAGACTACAGCGCCCAGAACTCCTAAACAACAGATTTAATTGCCTGGGAGTTGAAGTCTCAGTAGAGGTGCAGATCTTGAGCGAATCGGCTTGAAGGAGGCTAGAAGACAATAGGAGAATTTAATAATACTTGTTGCTGAATCAAGCAGACATGCTTCTGCTGTTTAAACTATTTCAGTGTTTTCCCTATAATTCCTTTTACAAGATATAATCTCATTTGAGTCTAGCTCAGTTCCTGGAGAAATCATAAACATG